AAGCTGAAGATCTTGTCTGCAAACCTTCACTCAATTCACAATAAAAAGTTAAAAAAAAATCCTGACTTCTGCTGAGCTCAGAACTACTTGAGGAATAAAATACAAAAGTGAAACAACTTTTTTAAAAATCAGTTTTATTGGTAGAGTTAAATTGGAAAATGCAGATCAGACTTGTGGCAAGTGGAACTGTAAGCAAGTTCTGTCAGTATGTCCCTCCTGAATTGAACTTATCACTAAAACCATAAACCAATGATCTCTTCTATGCGTTCTGCTTTGCTCATCCTTCACAGGGGTTGTTCCCAAGTACACTTACCAATCCTCCTGTGGATACATCGTGGGGTCTCAGAGTCTGTTTTCAGGGAACTCAAGCATGGCAACAATAGTGAGGTTGGCTCAGGATTGGGCAGTATTTCGTTCTGCTGTGTATAAGGTCACTATGGGTCGATACCGATTCGATGGCACCTAACAACAACCTAGACAAGGTCGCTATGGGTCAGAACTGACTCGATGGCACCTAACAACAAGAACAACCTAGACAGGGTCACTATAGGTCAGAACTGGCTCGATGGCACCTAACAACAACCTAAGTTGGACAGTGAGTAAAAAAGACTGCAGAAGAATTCATGCATTTGATTTATAGTGTTGGAGGAGAATATTAAAAGGACCACGGGCTGCCAAAAGATGAAAACAATCTGTGTTGAAGAAGTACAGCCAGAATGCTCCCTGAAAGCCAGGATGGCCAGACTTGGTCTCTCATATTTCAGAAATATTATCAGGCGGGAACAATACTTGGAGAAGGCTATCATGTTTGGTAAAATGGAGGGTTGGGGAAAAACAGGAAGACCCTCAACATGATGAATTGGCACAGTGGCAGCAGCAATGGGCTTAAATGTACCAATGATTGTGAGGTTGGCACAGGACCAGGCAGTGTTTAGTACTGTTGTGCGTAAGGCCACTATGAGTCAGTACAATGGCACCTAACAACAACAACAACAATCTAAGATGTCTACTGAAGTATCTTCCTCCACTTCACCCTACCTCCCTTCCAAAAAAAAAGCAGACACTGACTTGGGGAGGGAAAAATAAGTATGTCAGCTGTTTCCCAAAACAGATTGTTTAAATAGCAAGCAACTGTGATCTCATGATATGAGAAAAAAAGACATTTCTATCTTATCCCCCAACACAATAGAATGGGAATTTTGAAATAATTTATTTTAAAAAATAAGAGACTACATTCTCTTTAAATAGCTCAGATGTAAACTGAATGACAGTTGTGACCTAGTTATACAATAAGAGTGTACACATTGATACAGTAAATACCCAAAAGACTCAAAAGCCAGGACTCAGATGAATGCTTGTACACCAGAGTTCACTGCAGCAAACTCACAACTCAAATGTCCATCCAGAGAGGAATTCATAAACAAAATGTAATATAGACAAACAATGAAATATATTTCAGCCTGCCTGGTAAGGTGGAGGAGTGGGGGGAAAGGGGAACACCCCCAACAAGATGAACTGGCACAGTGGCAGCAGCAATGGGCTTAAAAACAGCAAGCATTGTGAGGTTGGCCCAGGACTGAGCAGCGGTTCGTTCTGTTGTGCATAAGGTCATCATGAATCAGTATGGATTCAATAGCACCTGACAACAACATTTTAGCCATTAAACAGAATGAAGTTCTGATACACACTACAACATGGATGAACCTCGACAACATTATGCTAAGTGAAATGGATCAGATACAAAAGGACAAATATTATATGATCCCACTTACATAAACTATCTAGAAGAGATAAATGCATAGAGACAGAGCCTAGAGCAATGGTGACCATGGGCTTGAGGATGAGGAAATGGAGCACTATTGCTCAATGGATGCAGAAGTCCTGTTTGGGGTGATAAAAATGTTTTGCAAACAAACAGTGGTGATGGTTGGCAACATCGTGAGTGTGATGAATGCCAATGGACTGTACAAATGAAAATGGTACATTTTATGTCATGTCTCTTTTACCACAACTTTAAAAATATTGATCAAAGGCTGAAGACTCTGAGTACTCAAAGCCACTAGTAGCCTACAAGATGAAGTTGTGGGCTGGGCTTCCCATGGGAGAAGAACACAGCCAATCAGAGTCAGTTTGTGTGTTTTAGGGATGAGGAGTGGGACATGGATGCACATGAAGCATGGGGTAGGGAGAAAGCTTGGGAATGTTTGCTATTCTAGAAGAGTACATCTTCTGGAACTGGGACCTTTCTAACATCTTTTTTTTCCTTTCAGTTGCTTAAGTTTTCTTTATCCTATGCAAAGACATCTTGAGGCAGGCAAGCAGACATCCATTATGCCACCAATCCCGGCTTTTTCTGTTTGTCCCTTCCACCTTTCTAGCATGTGTCTTCCATCCTTACTATTGTAATAGTGACTGATGAGTCCCAGCATTGTGTTTTCTTTCCAAACAAGGTTGTTGTTGTTCTTAAGTGCCTTTGAGTTGCTTCTGACTCATTGCAACCCTGTATAGGGTTTCTTTTCCAAGGAGTGGCTGATGAGCTTGACCCACCAATCTTGCAGTTCATATTAACCTTGCAGTCCAGTGTGTTAACCCTCAGTGCCACATCAGGACAAACAAGGTGTAACTTATAATTGTCTTCTTGAGAGAGTCCAATTCCCACAGATTGTAGAGTACAAGGTCTAAGGACAAAATCATATCTAGTGTCATCATTCTCTTGGAAAGTTAGCCTTTTCTTACAACCAGAAAGAATACAAGCGAAGAGACACATTGGGCAAGGTCCAAGAGTTCTCAACCCAGGCTTTGCATCGTCCCCAGGGATATGCCACCCTCTTGTATTCATCAATATTTTCATCACATTCAGGAAGCCCTACCCAACAATTGTGTCTGCATGTATTGGGGGTGGGTGCTAAAACCAATTTTTAAGGCAATATGTTAACATGATGGTTGATTATAATGAATAGATATTAAAAGGAAGCAATGTGTAAACAAATGAAAACAATGAACAAGTAATCAAAAGGGGTGACCCTTTTTTGTGTGTGCTCATACTCCTAATTTTCAACAGAATTCAGCCCTGCTCCCTCCTCACTTCCTGCATAACAAGTTACTACAAATGGATGAGCTTATAATCGGACTCATTTACCATATCCCAGTTTCCATGGGGCCGAAGTCTGGAGTGAGGAGCAAGTGGAGTGAATCCGTGAGGGAGGAAAAGAAAGAAGAAAAGAAGAGAAGAGGAGGGGAGGGGAGGGATATTGTGCCCCTTACTGGAACAGGATAGGGCTGAGAATTGGTGAATAATTCACAGTCATGTCAACCAATTGGGTTACTGCAGTTTTCTAATGACTTTAATTGGAATGCCAGGTAGTACCAAGAGCCAAAGTCTTGGGTTTCTGCAGGCTTTTTTACCAGCACCCAGGGTAACTATGTCCCCAAATTCCAACAGAGAAACCCAAGATCAAAATGTGGATTACATTTTATGAAATGATCATGTTTATGAGACTGAAATTTTGTGAGACCTAAGTTGGCTTCTCCCTGTGGGTTTGAGGGCAACGGGCGCTGAGCCTGGGAAGAGAAAGGCTTCTTTTTCCTCAAATGGATCCTATTCGTCACTGGGCGATGCGTGTTTTCTAAGCTGGGTGGTGGGCTCTGCTGCTCCCCACACCCACATCCCTGCTCCTGCTCCATCCAAGCAGCTGGCCCTCTCCTGGATGGGCCAGCGCTGGCTCAGGTCTCTAAGGGGCAGCAGAAGGGTAGTCGGAAGTTAAAAGGAAGTTAATGGTATAGGATTCTGTGTTGCTCTGTTCAACAGGATCAGAGTGAATCACCACAACTTCCCTTCCCCTATGGCCAAGCAGAACAGCAAAGGCCATCCTGGTCAGCATCTGGGGACATAAGGCCCTGGCTCTGGTTCCTCAGAGGACTGAGAAAGGACAGCTCACGCCATTCATTATACCACCGTAACTTGGCTCCTCTCCGAGAAGCAGCTGCATCTCCCAAACACAGTCGAGGCATGGTGTAACCAGGCACAGACGTAGCATCTTTACAAGACCACAGAACTGAGCCATACCTGTGTCCCACCTGCATGTCCAGCAGAAAGGCTTACACACGTACAGACTAGACAACTCCCTTGATGCCACCATGTTATCAGTGGTGTTCGGTGATCTTGAGTTGATTCTAACTGGAAGTGCCTCCATGTGACAGAGTAGACTTGTCCCCATAAGGTTTTCTAGGCTGTAAGGAGTCCTGGTGTGGCGCTGTAAGATAATCAGTAGACTGCTAATCACAAGGTTGGTGGTGCAAACCCACCAGTCACTCCTTAGAAACCCTATACAGTGTCACTTTGAGTCAGAACCAACCGATGGCATCTAACAACAATGACAATCTTTACTTTAGCACAATATCTGGTCTTTTCTCCCTTGAAGCCCCTGGTTAGCAGCAGAGTACTTAACCTGCGCCACCAGGGCACCTTACTGTGAAGATTTGTTCCCTCTTTTGAGTTACTGCATCCATAGGTGTAGGTCAAGTTCATCAAAGTGTATCAGATTACTCCTTTTTTCCTCTTCTTTCTTCTTCTAGTTGACCTCTGATCATCCAGTCATTGAAGCCAGGTCAAGTGGGTATTATCTGCAAGTGTGGGTGTTCTTGTGCATATGCCCTCTCTTCTTATCAGCTGAACACTTCACTCTCTACTCTAGTCCTCTGTGGCTATGTCACTGACTCTGTGCCCAAGAGTCCCCAGGGGAGATATAGGTTAGGTAAAGTACTATTCTCATCACATCATTTCAAGAGTAAGTAATATCTGACTGGCTACTCTGAAAACCCATCTTTGCATTGTTCCCAGTCCGGCTCCTTGCTCCCGGCAGCCACCTCCACCACGCTCTTCCTCCTCCTCCTCCTTCTCCTCTTCTTCCTCTGCTGCTCTCCGGCAGCTCTCTCGCCAGAGTCCCCAAACTCACACTCTCTTTGTCATCCTCTGTATGGGATCATCAGCGTGCCCCATCATGTCAGACGCCGCTGTGGACACCAGCATCGAGATTACCACCAAGGACTTAAAGGAGAAAAAGGAGGTTGTGGAGGAAACAGAAAATGGAAGAGATGCACTCCGCTAATGAGGAAAATGGGGAACAGGAGGCTGGCAATGAGGTAGACGAGGAAGAAGAAGAAGGTGATGGTGAGGAAGATGATGGAGATGAAGATGAGGCCAAGGCAGTTACAGGCAAATGGGCAGCTAAAGATGATGAGGATGATGATGTTGACACCAAGAAGCAGAAGACCAACGAGGATGATTAGACAGCAAAAAAAGGAAAAGTTAAATTTAAAAAGGCCACCGTGACCTTTGAGTAGAGAGTCCCACCCACCCACTTTGGGCAGCGCCACCTGCAGATACCACGCACTCACCACCACCCAACCAAAACCATAACGTGAATTTGCAACAGGGGAGAAAAAAACCCAAAACTTCCAAGGCTCTGATTTTTTTCTTAAAAGTACTTTAAAGAGGAAACTTTGTTTGTATTTTTTACTTACATTTTATGTTTTTGTACATATTGTTAGGGGTCAGCCATTTTTTATGATCTCGGATGACCAAACCAGCCTTCGGAGCATTCTTTTTCCTAATTCTGACTTTACTTGTGGTGTCACTATGTTCATTATAATCTTAAAGCGAAAAAAAAAAAACTTGTAAAAAAAGCAAAAACAACAACAACAAAATTACAGTCTTATTCCGAGCATTCCAGTAACTTTTTTTGTGCATGTACTTAGCTGTACTATAAGTACTTGGGTTATATGAGATGGTTAAAAAAGGCCAAAGAAAAAGTTTCTTTCTCTTTTTTTTTTTGTCTATGAAGTTGCTGTTTATTTTATTTTATATTTTCGGCCTGTTTGATCAATGTTGTCCAACAATAAACCGGAATTTTACTTTGCTGAGCTGTTCTAACAACAACAACAAAAGAAGTAATAATACCAACATGACATCACTCTTGATATTGACCTTGATGAACTGAGGTGAAATTAACTTTTCTTTTTACCCCTTTGCATATGGTATCCTTTGAATGGAAGTCACTAAGCACAGCCAACATTTAAGGAATGGGAATGACCTTTCCATCTTGTTCATCTCCCTGCTCCCAGTTTTCCATCTTCTCAGAATCTTCAACTGAGCACAGAATTCTAGGCTGCAAGGCTAAGGAGTGTATCTACAGAGATCCAGAGCTAAAACCTGCTTCACTCCCATCTTTTGGGACTACGTCCAGTCGAAGCAGCACCAATGTTGTGAAGAATTTCTATCTCTGTTCCTCTCCTATCACTAGGAAGACAACAACCTCAAGGTTCGAGGAACACACCTTTCTCAGTGGTGTAGTCGCACACCCTCTAAGTGTGTTCACCGCAAAAAAGAAATCGACAGTTGATCTTGAGCGCATGCGCATAGCCGTCTACACAAAGTGCGCATGCTGAGTAGGCCCTCAGCAAAAATCTGAAGCATGTGGAGTTTATCTTTGATGCTCTTCTGCTTGCTTTTTACTGACTCTCCCAGAGGCCTCCTGTGCCCTCCCGTTACCCAGAGCGCCACTCTGGCCTGCTCTCCTCTGGTCTTAATATTTTTCCCCCGTCTTCTCCCTCCCTGACCAGAATATAAGCACAAGCTAATTAGTAACTGTGTCCAGAACAGGAAAGATGGGATCGAGACACCAAACATACTCCAGGGGAAGAAGGAAACCAGGGAGGGTGATTTAGCAAAAGCAATGATTTTTAATCCATTTACCTGTCATTTCTTGAGAACTGTGAATGTTTTCTACCTCTGTGCTTCCAACCTATAGGAAATGCCGCCCTCAGTAAGTAGGGAAACATTGATTTGGCCTCTAGGTGTTTCCATTTACCTGGGGCACCCGGGGGCAGCTTCAGATTTGTATTTCTATCACTGTGCCTGATTCAGGAAGCCTGTGCTTCCCAGATGCCCCATTATTTCTTTCCACAACCACCTTTGGCATCTCTCATTTCTAATCAAACTCTGTTTTGGAAACACAAACTTTCTGCTTTCTCCCTGTGTGAAGTTTTAGAAAAAGGTTGATTTTCCCCTCCAGACTGATTTTATTTAGTTAGCTGAAGTCATTGGAGACAATGTAAACTTTGCATTTTCATTAGATATCTTTCCAATGTGCTGGGCACTGTCACTTTATTGCAATGATTTGCAATGGAGTTGGGTCAAAGATGCCCATTGCCAGAGCACAGAATTTCCAGGAAGCAGAGAATCTACTGTCACTTGTTATTAAGTTGAGTACATTGTTTTGAAGACTAAACATTCAGAGAAACACTAGAAATTAGTGTACTTGATAAATATAGTGTAATATATAAATATTGGAGTCATGGTGTGGTGCTGTGGGTTAATGCGCCAGACTGCAAAGCTGTTTGAACTGCAAGATTGGTGGTTCAAGCTCACCAGCTGCTCTTCGGAAACCCTGTACAGATTGCTATGGGTCGGAATCGACTCGACGGCACTGCACAACAACAACAAATATAAATGTTGATAATGCAATAATAAATGTATTTATTTTCAGTGATAAGATTTGTATTGGGCTTCATCAACCTTCGAAAGGTAATCTGAAGAGAGGATAATGAAAACGGGCCATGTTTGTGGGGTCAAGGCCAGGCAGTCCCCTGAAGACCATTGTAAATTCCTCCCATGTTGGTTTCTGAGAGTGCACTCAGGCCTTCAGGGTCAGTTAGTTATAAAAGCAGTCATTAAGGACAAGACACATATCCTAAAACTGGATATGGTTCGAACCGGTTCAGTTGTGGCCAATGAAACAAAGTCTAAACAGACTGGAATTTTAAATATTTTGGGTGAAGTGGAATGATCATCAGAATGGGAAAAATTATAGTTGAAGCCCTGGAATGGGAGATTCATAAGAAGCCATAGTGAGCCCTTTCAGGAACCTGAAACTATGCACAATGGTCCATCACCATCTTTGAGCAGGGCATCATTGCTTCCAACTCTGTCGACCAGGCTGGTATGGAATGTGCACACTGTCTTTGCTTTCCAACAGGGGCATTAAATTTCTAACAGAGCATTGACTCATAATTTTTCCTAATCTGTTTACCATACCGGTTCACCCACATTTTGTAATTCTTGGTCTGTTCTGGTTTCGCTTTGTTGGCCATGACTGAATTGGAAAGGACCAGTTTGAAGCCCTTCCTAAAACATAGCTTCCAAAACTGGCAGTGCATAGATCATTCTCCAAAAAGAGCCCAGTGCCTCAGGCAAAATGGTCTCCACTAAAATGCTTAGTGGCGATTGTTGTGTGTCATGGAGCTGGTTTCGGCTCAGAGCGACCCTTTATAGGGTTTCTGAGGTTGTAAATCTTTACAGGAGCAGAACGTCTCAGCTTTCTCCCCAGGAGCGACTGGTAGATTTGAGCTACTGACCTTGGGGTTAGCAGCCCAACTTGTAATCCACTACACTACCAGTACTTCTAAGGTGCTTACTGGACTATTATTTGATCTAAAGGTGACACTAGGGAAATCAGTTCTTTAAAGGTTCAAAGTTCAAAGGATGCTTTAAGGCTAATGGCCAACTCCATGGACTCCCGAAGTTTGGATTCCAGGAGAATTAAAATAGTTTCTCAACTGTCTCCTTATTCCTTTCACAAACAGTTACAGTAACTCTCTTTTAGACTGAGCAACCATGTTAGTCACCGGAACCTGGTCTCCCAGAAGCTCACAATCTAAGGTACGTAATATTGTAAATGTGTAAAATAAGGTGCATGGGTTTCAAACAAACACTCTAGAACGTGCATATCTAGAGTAGTCCATTGTTTTGAGGGGGAGAAGCCCTCCATTTCACACAGCCTAGGATTCAGTCCACTCTCTGCTTCTTTGGCACCACACCTGGGTCCTCAGGCTCCGGAAGATCCCTGGAAAGCAGAGCAGTTTGCTCCACCATCCATTCCTGGTCTCCAGAATCACTTGCACAGCATGTCTTCACTCTACTCTGGGTCAGTTCTGGCTCCTGCTCCATAACCCAGGCTGGTCAAGTAGTGTTTGAACTATTTGCCTGCCAAACTTCCATATTTCCCCTTACTTTCAACCTCATAAGCTACAAGAGCGCTACAACAGTTGAGACCTTCCCAAATGATCTGTATTTGCTTCCATTCCTGTCTGAGCCTGTGGATTCAGCCAGACTGAACATTTATCCACCCTTAACTCCCTTGGTTGAGGAGTCACTAAATGTCCTGCCTTCGTTATCTGCTGTTCTGAGAGAAATACCACAAATGGTGGCTTTAACAAATAAGTTGATTCACTCACATTAGGAGGATTAAAGTCTGAATTCAAGGTGCCAGGCTTTCTCTCTGTGTTGTCTCTGGGGGAGAGTATTTGTCTCTTTCCAGTATCTGTGGGCCAGTGTTCCTTGGAGATATCTGTTTTGACATCAATCTGACCCTGAGTCTAGAAGGTTCCCAGCATAGGGACTCTAGGTCGAAAGCCATTCACAGCTCTTTTTCTTGGTGGTGGTAGATCCCTCTCCTCCGCTCACTTGTTAGCGTAGTGGTTATGAATCGGGCTGCTAACCTCAGGGTCAGCAGTTCGAAACTACCAGCTGTTCCATGGGAGAAAGATGAGACTTTCTGCTCCCGTAAAGATTTACAGCCTTGGAAACCCTGTACAGGGTCGCTATGAGTTGGAACCAACTCCATGGCACATACCAACCAACCAACAACAACATATCCCAAAAAGGATTGAGCCAACATACAACCTAATCCTATAGATTGCCTCCTGCCTCATCAACATAACTGCCAGGAAACCTGCCTCAGTAACATCATGTTGTTGTTGTTGTTGTTATGTGCCGTGGAGTCAGTTCCGACTCATAGCGACCCTATACAGGGTTTCCAAGGCTGTAAATCTTTACCAGAGCAGAAAGCCTCATCTTTCTCCTGTGGAACAGCTGGTAGTTTAGAACTGCTGACCCTGAGGTTAGCAGCCCGATTCATAACCACTACGCTACCAGAGCTCTTTCAGTAACATCATGTTATTGTTGTTGTTATATGCCGTGGAGTTGGTTCTGACTCATAGCGACCCTGTACAGGGTTTCCAAGGCTGTAAATCTTTACGGGAGCAGAAAACCTCATCTTTCTCCCACATTTAGGTAATTACATCTGATCACAAAATAAAGGCTCATTACATAATACTGGGAATCATGCAGTTAAATTGGTGCATATTTGAGAGGAGGGCGACACAATTTAACCCATGATACGCCCTTTTTTACTTAAGCTAATTGAGTTGGGTTTCTGAAACTGTAACCA